GATGACGGGGGCCTCAGAGCGTGCACTCTGCACCGGGGCCCCGCAGACCGATCCAGCGGGGCTGAAGCGCGTCCGTTCCTCAAAGACAGTGGAAGGACAGGTCGGGGAAGCCAAGCCAGGCCTGGTCCCCAGTCCACACTCCAGTCCCCTGAGGCTCTTCTCCCTTCCCGGGCCCTGCTGCTTCCTGGGCTTGCTTCACAGCAAGAAGCTCACCTCAGGCACTACTTGGTCCCTAGAGCGTTAAGCGCATCCTTGTTGTTGAGAGAAAGCCATATTGGACCGCCATAGAATTTCCGCCTCTTCCAGAAAGCCTTCTGTGATTTGGAGTTCATTTCAAAGCTGAGGGCGCCGCCCTCGATGGCCACGTGACCACCATTCCTCCAGAGGCTTAGTAAATGTGCATAGTTATTGCCCCAGTAGAGTGTTTACCAGGGGCCCTCTGGTAACTAGACCCCACCAGGGAGAACTGCCACTTTTGGCATTCTACCGCCGGGTATCTGTTCCGATCCAGCATCTGTAATGGGTGAGCCAAACGCCATACTTCCCTGGCCTTCACCTGATGACTGGGTCCAGCAAGCAGCAGCTCGGGATGATTCTAGCTGTTTGCTGTCCAAGACCACAGTCCATTAAAAGAGGCTCAAAAATCAGCTTTTAGCATACCTTCAGTAAGTGCTGGAACTCTGGCCCTGCCAAGAGAGCAAGTGAGCTTCCCTCTAAAGAGAGCGCCCCGTGGCACCAAGAGCAGTGAGGGTACAGTGACCTCAGAGGATCCTTCGGTTGAAGACTGAGATACTCAAGTTTCCAGATGCAAAGCTGACTGGCAGTTTTCCCCGTGCTAAGACTAGCCAGAGAGAAGCTGGGGCATAATCCAGGGCCCTATCCCACGAGGACCGGCCTTTTGTTCTACTGGGGACTCCTTCCTGCTAACTCTATCAGGCAATTCAACAGGAAAGCTCTCACTGGTTCCTTTTTCACGAGTAATAATTTGAGCCAGTCATTTCTAACTGGCAGTTACCCCCAATGCTCATCACTCCAAAGTTCTTCCCAGTGCACAGCCATTTTGATGCGCTGGGAACTGCCACTGGATGGCCTTGAAGAAGTTATTTTTCAGCCCCCAGCTTCAGTTTCTTCACCTGTGGCCTCCAAGTCATGGGCAACCAGGATGATCCCAGGGCAGGCTAACAATCTGCCCTTAACAATTACAGACAGAACTTGATGAGTGCTAAAATGGAATTCATTGCTTCCTTTGGCAACCATTTCCTGCATTCTAGGCCCTGGGGAAGCAAAATAGGAGATGTTGTACCAGCAAACCTGTTGACCTCAAGGGAAAAATGGTTAGATAAAAGTGTGGAGAGAGATTTGCTGATCTCTGCACACTACGGCCCCGCAGGAACCCCTCTTCCTGGCTTCCTACCATCCTCTACCTTCAGGATGACCTAATCACTCCCATGAATAAGACTGGAACCTCAGGGAAAATCAGACATCCCTGGGTAACACCGAAGGGCCCTCCCTGCCACTTACAATAAAATTGTCTACCACTGTGACCCAACTTACTGGAACTGAGTTGAGTGTCTTCTGGGGGTCCACAGTCTCACAAGGACAGTGAATCCTCAAGTGAGACAAGGCTGTTTTCCTATAGGGTGGGTTCTGGAGCCTACACCTAGCTCTTCTCTGTCTGGTCACAACTCAAGAACCCTTTCTGGGCCTGCATGTGTCATCTGGACACAGAAGAGAATAAATGCTTGATTAATGTGTGTTATGAATTAGACACCACTGAGCACATGGCGCACACCTGTTCCTTTAACTCTTTGCTCGTAGCCTGTGAAGAATGAAGGACTAGGAGGTCAAGCCCTTTGTGCGAGGTCTCATGACCATTACTTTCACCCGTGTGGCATCCTTGTTCCAGCCTGCACGCCCAACAGATGTGAGAAGGCAAGCATGTGGGCACAGACGTGCAGGGATTTGAGTGTCAGTGGGATTACCTTCACCTCCATGTCCTCATCTGTAATCCAGGGTTATTTTAGCATGTCCTACCCTGGCAAGAGGTACCTGCCGGGATTCTTGGCCGTACATCAGTCTCTTTTAGAACTGTTTCCTTCTGACTCGCTAATTCAGCAAATACTCTTGAGATTATCAGAGCCATGTGGAGAAAGAGACCCGAAGCTCTAGACGAGCACCCAACAGAAGACCTAAAGGACTTCTCGGAGGAAATCTGAAGGATGTAAAGGAATAGTCAGGGAGCAGAAGAACCCAGAGAAACACAGTTTGGGGAGCTGACCACAACTGTGGTCAGGAAGCTGCGGGTGCTAGAAGAGGCTGGAAGAGCACAGGCCTGCTCACGAAGGGCCTGGGGAGAAGCGAGGTGTCATGGGAGGATAACCGCCTGATTTTACCTGTAGAGTAACAACAGG